AACAGAAATAAGATTATCTGTCCAAAAATGTTTGTGATGAGTTTGTGAGAGCCTGCGAATGCAGCAGCAGTGTGCCCTCCAGTGACAGCAGCTGCTACAGCAGCAGGAATGACAGTCTCCTGCAAGCTCTCTGGGGACTTCCCTGCACAGGGAAGCTCGGAAAGTTAAGATGAATTAGTCAAAAATACAACATTAATACAGGCGAAGTGAAAATATCTCCATTCCACTCTCACCACCCTCCCTTCAGCAGATGCTTTCATTCAGATGTGAAGTGCCCTTAATTTGCTGTAATCTTCATACCCTTGGACATTCGGAAAATTGTTTTTGGGTTGCAGACTAAAAAACCCCAAAAAAAAAAAAAAAAAAAAGGCGAAACCCCATGCAAAGCAGTTAAGTGCACTTAGCACCCTCTAGCTCTTTTTTTTTTCTCCTCTTTTTCCACATACATGATACCTCTCCCCGCCTTGTCGACTTAAAAAAAAAAAGGGGGGGTAGGAATCTGTGGGGCGATGAAGCAAGTTTTAGGTCCTTTTTAAAGGTTCCAGCGTGATTCACTACTTTATTATTTTTTTCCCCCCCGTTTCTTTGCTGGTGATACGTTAATCTGAGCGAACAGGCAGTATAGGTAAGAATAAAAAAAAAAAAAAAAGGAAAAGCGCAGGCGGCCGCCGCCGTGGAGCTCTGCCGCCCCCTGCTGCCGAGGGCCGCTCCCCGTCTCTCCCACGCCTCCGCTGACACCCAGGTGGGTTTCTTATTTTTAATTTTTTTTTCTCCTTCCCCTAAAACCTCCTTAAAAAGGCCCCGAGCACGGGTCGTGTCCCTCTCCCCCCTCAGGTGCCGGCAATACAGCGCTTCGAGGCGTCTGGCAGCGGGCACCCCGCAGGAGGCACCGGCGGCGCGGCGCGGCTCAGCAGCCTCATTCGGCACCGAAACCAACGCCACAAACTTGCCCCAACAGTTTGGGGAGGCGGCCAGCGCTCCAGCCCCCCCCGCCGGGTGCCTGCCCTGCCCTCCCCGCCCCGCAGCCCCGCACCGACGCCCCTTTCCTGCCCCGTCCCCTGAAGTAGCGCGAATCCTCAAGACACGACACCGGCGGCATCCAAAATAAATAAATAAATAT